TTCTTTCCATGGGCTGTTTGCTTTGAATCTTGGCAGTGGTCTTGAGCAAAGACAGTTCTGTAAGACTGAAGCCCCCCCCCCCTCCCTTCCTCCTGCAGCGGTAGCATTTCACAGCCCCCCAGTGAAGATCAAGAAGGAGCCCCGTAGCCCTGGCTCCGACCCCAGCCAGTCCTGCAGCCACAAGCAGAGCTTCAGCTACCCCGGTGGGGAGCAGTGCCTTTACGCCAGGTGAGCTGTCCCTGCACAGCCGTAACGCGATACGCCAGCATGTGCAGGGAACCCGAAACCGGGTCAAGCCCACGGAGAGGTTGCTGTTGTACCTTTGAGCCCAACACTTAAAATGGCGTCCTGCTGTATTATTATATAGCACGATAATAATACAATCAGCCTTTTTTGATTTAGTTAAAGTGTCTGTCAAGTAGCGACAATAAATAATCATTGCAGCCTTAGTTCCTCACCCTGAGTGTTGTGGCTTTTATTTTGTCCGTCTCGCTGTAGTTAATGACAGAGTCCTTGGGCCCGCGTGGTCTTGACCTCCTTCACTGGAGCTGAGCAGGACCACAGAGATCTTACAATAGCATCACCTCACCTTGCTATCTCATTAACCCCACTACAGTGCCTATGAGCAGAAGAGAGTTTTGGGACCCAAGACCTCGAGCCCCGGGACTCCAATGTCTCCAATGCAGCACTACTCCCCGAAACCCGCCCTGGGTGTTCGGCCCGACTCGGGGTACATGAATCCCCCAGGTGGCACCCCGTCCCTGCACAGCCACAGCTTTCCCATGGAGCACAGGTAACCAGGAGCAGCCAGCTCCCCCAGCACCCCTAAACACCCCACGGCCTCCTTCGGAACGATCTGCTCCTTTCTAGATCAGAGCTTCAACTTTTCAAGGCAGTTCTTTTTCCTCTTCACTTGTTATTCAACCCTCTGGTGCTATTAAGTTACTTTTCTCTCCCTGTAAAATTTGATCGTGGGCTTTGACAGCTTAAGCCTCACATCAGCGTTTTGTGCTGCATCATGGGATTGTCTTCGGGCCGTCGATAGGCGATGGTTTCCTGGGGAGGGTTGAAGGACAGAAAGGTGAGCAGACTAGAGCAGCGAAGCATAAGTTCTCCCCATCTTTCCCAGCTCCAAGTACCCGCAGCCTCCTGCAGAGATGTGCCCCCAGTACCCAGCCCCGGGCCAGACCATGCAGCGTGGCCATGCCGCCCCGGTGGGGGGCGGAGGCGGGGGCGGCGGCGGGGGGGGAGGGGGGTACCATCGGCAGCACTCGGATCCCTGCATGCCGTACCTGCAGCAGAGCTTTAAGCAGGAGTACCTCGACCCGCTGTACGACCGGGCCGGTCACATGACCGGTGTGCCCCCCCAGCGCTACCCCCCCGCCCACATGATGGTCAAGCAGGAGCCCGCCGACTACACCTATGAACCCGGTAAGCCGCTGCCCATTCTGTACTGAAACCCTGTGCAGTAATAACTTATAGCACATTACAAACATGCATCTTGTTGAGCTAGGAGTAAGAGCAGGTAGGGGAGGACATATTTAATTTGGATTCTTTCACCCCCCTTCAATAAATAGACATTTAGTATTTAAATTATTAAGTTGCCCCCCCCACCCCAATCTCAAACTGTATCTTGCTCCATTGTCTTCTAAGAACCTCAGAAGATAACGTAGTGCCAACTTAAATAATGAACCGCCGCTCATTGGGCTCCATACCTGGTCAGCCCGCGGCATCTCCACTCCCCGAACCTTAAAGTGTTAAGTTGCTTTATAGCTACGGAGCCTGCGCCCACAGCAGACACTGATGACGGGTCTGATGCAGCTCGACAGAGTCTGGCTTACTCTCCCCGTGTATCAGAGCATTGCGATTAGTTCTGAATCCGCAGCCCGGATAGAAGCTATTATGTTTGTCTTCAGAATTAAGTTCAGAACTCGGATCATGTGACACCAGTAATGAAACCAGTGTCAACTCCTGGGTCGGTGTCTTATATCGACGGGGCTGAGTGTTCGGGTCTGCTACAGAACACACCGGACTGCTTGTCTAGCAGAGGACCCTCAGCATCCTGAGGCCCAGAGGCTGCCTCCAGAGGCTGCCTCCCGAGGCCCAGAGGCTGCCTCCCATCCATCTGCTCAGCCCCTTCAGCGCCATAGTTGATGGTAACGGTGTTTTTCTGAGAGGCAGCTCTGTACTCTGCATCCCTCCCTCCCTCTTGAATGGGAGGCAAAGGAATTTCATTGAGAAAATGGAGGGCACTGGAAAGACTAGAAACCCCAGCGGACAGCTCCCCGGTGTCGGGTTACAACGGCGGCTTCCTTTTCTGCAGGCAGATGAACTCATAATGGAAAAATGAGCGTGGCCACGGTAACCGGAGCCACACTCCTGCTGCACAATAACAAGAGGGTGGGGGAACAGGGGCACGAGATGAGTGCAGTGTTTGGAGAGGGAAAATCTGGCCTTACTGTACGAAAGTGCTTTCAGAGCTCTTTGAAGTACACGTTAAATTATACAGCTGGATGCTGAAGCTCTCACTGTACACGAGTTTGTATCTGATGATTGGTTCATAGACTGGCCTGGGGTGGCGCGCCTTTTAAATGAAAATCTGTGCTTGTTAGGTTTGTTTGCACCTCAAAAATTTTTATTTGTCAGAAAGAGAGCAGTTTTAAGGAAGGTTTGCTTCTGAAGGCCGTGCGGAGTTTGTTTGCCGGCATTGAGGGTGTAGCAGAGATGGCTTCTTCCAGACGTCTTTGGAACTCTGATGTCTTACGGCATGCCGATCCTTCGCCCAACACCACCAGCGCCGTCGCCTCCCTGCTGCCCACGTGCCCCCAGACTGTCTCTATGCAAAGCACCACTTCACCAAAGCCTTTTAGCTGCGAGCGCATATGATACATTTATCACCGCAGTGTTCTTTCCTGGCAGCCGGTCACGAAAAAAAAAAAAAAAAAAACCACCGCACTGCAAAAATGCTGCAGTGAAAACCACGCCCCCTTGGGGCCGGCTGTGGAAAACGCTCAGTCTCCTGTTGGTAGCCAGAATCCGTATTACCTTACAGTGTGATCGGGTAACCGAGGGAATTTAATTTTCCTCAATGATGCCTAATTACAGTCACGTCACACCATTCCTCAAGCCAAAGGGACAGTGTCGGCTCTAAGACACGCCACTCTATTCATGTAGCTATTGGATGGTGTGTGTGTGTGTTTGATTCTATTGTGATTCTGATGGGCTGCACAGTTTAGCCGTTTCTTTTTTGACCTTTCTGCTGTCTCTGAGCAGCTTTTCGTTTGTGTTTTTTTTAATTTTTTTTATTAAGGGTGCTCTTGATTACTGCTGGGGGAGAGGTCAAGGTTTCCAGTGGTTTATTGTGACTGGAACATTTTTAACTCATTTATTAGTCTTGATTGTATCTTGTAGTTCTTTTTAAATAATAATTGTATTCTTTATTAATATTCAAGCAAATTTTTCAAAGCCTCCTTATCCGTCAAGAACATTGCTAATGTACTACAGTTAAGTTTGGGTGAAGCAAATTTGGGCAAACGTTGCGACTCGTAACCCAAAAAGAGTGCAGCTCGGACCAAGATGTTCCTGACCTAAAAATAACGAGACACACAATATTATGATTAATGCTGCTTTTGTCCTTGCGGCACCGACATAGTTACAAATATAAACCTCTGTTCTCTTCTCACCCAAGCTCTGGCTGTGAAAGCGGAGAGAGAAGGTGCTTTCTGAAGGGATGTGAGGGTCTCACTCAGAGCAGTCACTGCTCACGTCATAGACATGCCCCAAGTCTTGTAACATCACATTAAGCAGGAGTTCTGGTCCTAGCCAGCTCCAGGCTTTTTCTTTATTGGTAGCCGTATGGTCCAGTCCATTTAAAGTAGCTGTATATAAAGTCTTTTACAGTTATAAATTGTTCTTTTCACAGATGTGCCGGGATGTCCTTCCATGTACCTGCAGAATGAAGGCTATGCCCCCGCCATGCACGGTAACGAAGGTAAACCTGCCCAGATCCCGACCTGCCTGCTGTGTTTCCTTTACAGTGATCGCATGATCCGATATTTGAAATCTACGTCTTTAGCGGGTGACGCGGTGCTCAGTGTCATTCGACCTGTGACAGGCTTCTGGGATGCGCTTCCTGTGCTCAGACAAAACAACTGCAGATATTACGCAAACACTGACCTTATCTAGACAAGCCTGCCAGCATTTCAAAGCCCTGGATTAATCTAGTTTTTACAATACGTAGATTCTCCTACATGCTTAACAGAAGTCCTATTCCTTTCATTCTTTTTTTTTTTTGTTCACAGGGCAGGGAACATTTTTTTTTCAGCTTTTAAGAAACAAGTAGAGTTTGGGAGTTCTCTGAATGAGATGAGGATGTTTAATTTTGGTGTCAAGGATACTGTTTCCTTTGGGGTCTGTGGGAGAATAAATGGTGGAAGAGGCGGGTCCCTGGAAGTAGGTCACCGTGGCAGAGCTGGTGGGCAAGGGACAGGACTGTGAGGGGCAGCGCTGGCAGCTTCCCCGCTAGATCATCGCCTCGGGTGCTGATGAACTGGCTCACTGCGCCCATTAGCTAAGTGCCATTGAGAAACAGTTTCCACTGGCAGTGAGGTCCACGTTACAGCCGTGTCGAAGCAGTCTGGGGCCCAGCACTGCCACTGAAGAAAGGCCTGTTTGTTAGTAGCCAAGAATAAATACCTACTCCAAGTGTTTGACCATTTGGTTGTTGTTCCCGTTACTGACGCTCCATGGAAGTACTGACTCATAATCTACCTTTCCTGGTTCACCAGCATGCCAGAAACTTCTAGGTGTGATTCTTAATGCCACTGCAGAAATGAACGAGGTTGTTCTCCCTGCCATGAGAGTAACCTCCATGTCTTAAGGAGACAAAAAAGATCTTTCACTGTGTCGAGGCAGCAACCTCAGGCCCGTCTCCTAGCCGCTCTGTAACCTGGTCACTTTTTATTCACTCTAGGCTACTCTTTTGAGAATGACTCCCGCGTCGTCCCAGAGAAGTTTGAAGGTGAGTGTGAACTGCATTAACACTAACGTTGCATGGCCACTCATACCTTACTTTGAAGGCAGAGAGCGAGGGAGTGACTCTGAAGGCAGAGCTGCGAGGGAGTGACTCTGAAGGCAGAGAGCGAGGGAGTGACTCTGAAGGCAGAGCTGCGAGGGAGTGCCTCTGAAGGCAGAGAGCGAGGGAGTGACTCTGAAGGCAGAGCTGCGAGGGAGTGCCTCTGAAGGCAGAGAGCGAGGGA